ATCCTTCATCAGAATGTAGCAGCAAACTTCTTAAGGCCTATCCAGAATTCTCTCTAATACAACAGTGAAGTTGCAGTATGTGAGTRTGGGCAGAGAGTTGTTTTTCTTTCCAACTATTAAAAATAATTAAGAAAATCATATCCTGCTTCTAGCTGGAAGAGATTGGAAACAACCAGATACACAGTGGGCAGAGTCACATCCTTAATCTGCCAGCCATCCTTCCCCGGGGAGTTCAAGTACCTGCTGGAAGCAGACGCATTCAGACATGTGGCAGTCAGCATCTGTATGCTTCTCTTAATTCTCTTAATTAGTTTAATTCATTTCCTTCATGTACAAGAAGATTGAATTTTTTTTTTGTGGGTCGTCCAGGATGAAACAGCAAAACTTTGAAGTAGGAGAGTAGGAAGGAGGTTTCTGATCAGGGTTAGAAGGGGTATAATCATATCCCTCACCTCCTCTTCATTGATCTTCTTTTCTACCTGGTGTAAAATACAGCAGAAAAAAAAAAGAGGCCAGGAAGTGTGTGGAGGAGACTGGGATGGAAGAGCACCCTATGCATCCGCTCAGAGAAACAGGAGCTGAATCAGCAGCTGGTTATTGCTTCCCAGGCACTTCACATGCACCTATACAGGAGGCACAGTTTGCACAGCAGATGATGCGTCTGTCAGGGATCATTAACTGTTCCAGTGTCAAATACTTTTTAGCTATGTTACTACTTCTCAATCAGCAAAAATGGGAGCTGAAAAGGGAATACTATAACAGAGAGCAGCCAGTTTGCCCTGGCACGACTCAAAACCTTCAGTAGTTCCAAACGTACTTGTGAAGATGTATCCTCAGGAGTGTAAAAGTCTCGTGACATACTTCATGCCCTTAATGCACTACTATCAACCTTTTGCTCTTTCCTGCTAATTCATTGTAGAAACAGAAATAACAAAGATCTTTGACTATGCAATAAGGAACAAAAAGGATTAAAAAAGAAGAATTAAAAAGGAACAACTGAAATAAGAAGTAAAATCTATGAAACTTTGTTTTACAGAAAAGTCTCAAAGAATTAAATAGAAAAAGGCAAAGCAAGTTACATCCACAGCAGGATATTTTAGGTATTATTGAAATATAGCCAATTTATATGGAACTTTAAATAACTTTATTAGAATATCSCTGTTCTAATTTCTACACATTCCTTCAGGTTTAAGATTAAAGGACACTATGCAAATATATACAATTCCAAGTCAAGAACAGAAGCAGAATTTAGAAGACAGCCATAAATTGAATCCAAGGTATCAATTTTTCCATACTCTCTAGAAAAAAAAAAAGAAAAAGAAAAGAAAAACACTGGCAATCAAGTAGAAAAAGTGACATTGACTTAGGAAAAGCTGTAACTGGGATTGCCTGAGTTGCCTCTGTGGTCCTTTGTATGTAGTTCTTTTTATTAAAGGCTTTGATTTTTGCATGCCATTTTTCTGCTCCATAGAAATTTTAAAAGTTAAGCCACTAATACAAGACTTTTCTGAGCATAGCTAATTTTCAAGAGCATCTCACATAACCGAAGTTGCACTGTTTTTTGGAGGGGTGACAGKATTGACATCTGGTACAATAGCTACTCCTCCGCAAGTCTCCACAGTCCTCTCCCTATCTGGCAGCTGAGGAGCTATCAACAGACCAAATTGCATGATGYTTTTCTTTTTTTTTTTAAACAATACCTGATTTCCTGAAAACAGCTAGAGAGTCAGATTCAAACTTTACAGGAAGAAATTAAGCTGAGAAATACTCATTACGCAAACATTTTGGCTCGGACACTTTCAAGTGAGAAATGTCGACACCCGAGACACGAGTGCTCACTCAGCCGCTCCTGCCAGCCTTGCTCACGACCCAGCTCACAGCGGGCACTGCAGGAGGGCCCTGGCTAAGGCTACACCTCCCTCCTCATGCGCACCTTGCCCTTCTCCTTATCCAAGCCTGGGTTATTACTGTTATTTCTGCACGGAGGCTCTGCCCCACGTGTTCATTTGGCAGGCGGCGCAGGGGCGGGCTGAGGGGCTGCCCCACAGCACGGGCACTTATAGAGTGGCCGCGGTRGCGGCCGCAGCGGCGCCGGGAGCCAGAGCGGGATGGGGCTGTGGCCGTGAGCCCGGGAGCCCCAGCACCCATGCCCGGTAAGTGCTGCGTGCCCCCTTGCATGCACCCCTGCCCCAAATGCGCCACGGAGAGCCGGGCACGCCGCCGCCTCCACTCGCTCTCCACCGAGCTCAGACACTGTCCGTCTGACCCGCTCTTGGAGGCTGCTAAGGAAGCGCCACTGTGCAAGCTGCAGCTCTGCTCCTCGGCTCTGCTTGTTATGCTGTGCCTTGAATGCTTTCTACCACCTAACTGCCCYGTTCTGCAGGTCGGAGACAGCAAGCAGACAGAGCAAAGAGCTTGCTTACCATCCTCCAAATCATTTGGTTTATACTGCACGTATGTTATAAGTCTGGGCATGTAAAAAGGGATTAAAAYTTCCAAGGAAGACTACCTGATCCTAACTCCACAAGGCTTGCCGCAGAGGTTAAAACAAGCTTATACAAATATCGAAACCTAAGCAAGGAGATCTATCCCTGATATGGTAGCCTCTCACAGTGGACAGCCTCCCCAGCACTGGGCATTTAGGGCTAAGCATTCCAGTACCGCTGGATCTCCACGTGCACCGCCTCTGCATCACAGCTCAACACCCTCATCAACTTCTCATGATGACAAGGGTTTAATACATTTTTTTTCTCCTTAGGTACAATAGGGTCAACTTATTTCAGTGGCTGACTTTGTGAYTAGTGCTGCACGATGCCCTAAGCTATTGGCTCTGTTGCTGATCTACCAGATAAGATGAACTAAAAAGAAATGAGCCAAGTTCTCCTTACTCGTTAAAATCAGAGAGCTCTCTTAAAACAGATAAAGCTTCACCTGTTATCAACCACCATGATAAAACAAAACAAAAAAAAAAAAGGCAGAATTTGGCCCAATGTCAGTAGCTGGATCAGGAAATATGATAGATCATTCTTCAATGAACAAATTCAGTACTGTAAACACATTAAAAARAAGGTTGGAAGCCATCCTCTCACTCCCAAACCTGGGCGCAGCTGGGTCCCATGCGTTGCATCAGAGCACACCTCAGCCGTCAATGGTGTAAAAGGGGACAGATTGGCACGGGGAGTAGAACAGGGGACAACTGCTGAGCACAGTAAAGACTTGGGAATGGAGAAGGCACAAATAAAACAGAAAATCCTGTTGAGCTTGCTTCAACTTTTGTAACCTGAGAAATGTTTGTTTTTCTTTAACATATTTATGTCAGACTGGAGACTAAACATCACCAATCACAGTCATTTGCACTGGTGATACTGCACCTGTAGACAGTGCAGCATTAATTCCCATCATGTTCATTTGCACTAAAGCATTTTTCTGAATTGGACCTTCTAAAACTTTAAGACCCTGGCAATGTGTAGAGACATATTTGAGTATGGCCCTCAAAACTAGAAGGGAAGTATTAGAATTCAAACAGTCATAAATTCAAGGTATCAATTCTTCCATACCATCCAAAAAAAAAAAAAAATAACCAACCAAAAAAAAAAACCTGGCAGGCATTTTACACCTTCCTATATTTTCCATGCTTGGGTCTTAATTGGAATTCACATTTCCTCATACCCCACGTTCTTACAAAAGGAAACTAGATTAGCAGTTGAGCATAGATTAGTCTATATTAGCATTAATTAATAACAATTGGACATTTGTTTCCTGTTCCCCAGGATAATTGTTCTCATAGTAGCCTCGCTAGCTGTCGAAGGTATTCAGCCCACTTGGGGGGTTGCAGACGCCACACGAGTGAGGAGCAGAGTAGTGGGAGACATGGCTGAGAAGAGGACTTGCAGAGAGGCTGCCAGGCCATGCATGTAGTGAGCTAAAGCAACACACCTGGAGGGGAGCTGGAAAAGCCTGGGCTGCTATGACTGCATCAGAAACAGAAAAACAAGATACAATGGAATAAAGGCCTTTGGGGCACTATGGTCAGGTTAATGTTGGAGCTGTAGTATTTGCTCAAGTGCTCTGCAGCTGAAGGACATTCCATATCACTGACTGCAACGTGGCAACAACAAAAAGATTGGTAATACATTTGCAACTTGCTTATTGTGCTTCTTATAATCATACTTAATCAATTAAATGGCAAATTACTTTTTYGAGCTCTATTCGCACCTACTCACTGGTGCTGACTGAATACATTATGTCTCTATTTGCTTTATACTGTTATAGAAGACAGGCGACTTAACTGTAAGAGTCCTACTAAGCACAAGCAGATAAAAAAAAGAGAAAGGAATAAAGCACAATCAAAGCTTTACCTACGGAGCCATATATATATATGTATATACAACACGTTATTTCCACATGGACAAGTTATTCAGATTCTCAGGTACTTTTTACTCAAGAGTTACCTTGTACAGGAGATACATGCTGAGGTCTACACTATTTCATCCTTTTTCATTTGTTGCTAGAACACTTCAAACACTAGAAAAACATCAGTTTTCAAACCCCATCAAAATCTGGCTAAACTTTCCAAATTTAATCCTTGTTATATGTGTAATATAAGCTTGCTTAAGGTGAGAAAGATATTTTGTTACTGTAAGCACTGAAAATCCTTACATTCAAGTTCTTTCAGCAGTTTCAAGTTCTTTCAGCAGTTATTTAAAGAAGTCCTCAGTATCTCCATAGAGTTCAGTCTGAAGAAAGAAGCAAAGATAACAGAAATAAGAAATAGTTAAAAAATGAAAAAGTAGGAACATTTTAGAAATGCACTAAAAGCAGCTGTAGTTCAGTGCCTTAGTGATAAGGGAGAAATTTAACAGCTGCAATAACAATCTTTTTCTTACCCTGGGAGCACTGCTCAGAAGAAAAGCAGCCCACGTGTCCCTGGAAAGCAATTCTGTAGCCTGCTCACACCACCTGTTACACTGACTTGGGTCAGAACTCACCTTCCCCATCAAATGCTAAACCTTGAGCACCAGAGAGATTCCAGCCTGAGCCTGGAGACCCTGGGCTCGGAGGTGGACAAGATCCACTCACATGTGGCTGCACCAGAAGCAGGTGAGTGGTAACCCAAGACAGGCTGGACAGCAGGCAGAGCGCAGAGGGGGCTTTTCCAGCTTCCTGCTCCAGCACACTCATGCTGAAASAAGCCCTGGGACAACCACCACCTGGGCCTGTTATCTATTGTCTGYCATTGATTCAAGAGAAATTAACTGCATAAAGACTTCAAATAGGAGGAATTCTCTTAAGGTTCCAGTTTTACTGCTGTGAAACCACAAAAACAATCACCAAAGGCCAATCATACAGAACCTGGTTTTATCTAAAATAAGCTACAACAGGAAATAGGGAGTATACTTAAATTCATCTTTCTGGATCAGAAAGTGTACAGATCCCTGGGGGGGGGGGGGGGGGGGGGGGGGAAATCCCCCAGAGCTTTCCTTTTTTTTCCTGTTCTTTACTTGCTATTCCCCATCCTAAATCTCTTATAGTGCAGTCATAGTCAGAGTATCTGAGTATTTTCTAACCATCCACTCCTAATGTCATAGAGCTTCAGCTGTCCTGCTGTGCTATGTCCAGAGAGCAAAGTCTGCAGGTGGGTGGAATACCTCATTTAAAATTCATTTTCACATCCAGTTTAGAATGTAGGTCAAATAATGTTGTCTTTTTTTTGCCAAAATTTACATAATACTGATCCCGCTATGCTGATTTATRTATTTCTCTGAATAGGACAAGTAATTGCTGTTCTTGGAGGTGTTATAGGAGGAATCCTTCTATTTGTTCTCATTGGAATTACTGCATATCTACTCTACAAGAAATTGTGCCTCTTTTCTTCTTATGAAGAGCTTACTAGTCCCATCACAAGACCACCTGCAAAGGCCCTTTTGCAGAATCAGTCACCTTCTGAAACTCAGCCAAAAGACACAAGGTACATACTCTTGCTTTTTTTTYCCCTGCAAGTTATTGCCCACTATTTCAATTTGTCACAACTCAAATGGGGGAATGATCTAAACATTCAGACATAAGGCCCAAAATGATACAAAACCCAGTCATGTTTTCTGTCATTCTTTAGGAAATATTTTTTGTTATTAAGAATACTTTTTTTCCTGGTTTATGTAATTCAGCAGTAAAAGACATTGCCGCCATGTATAATCAGCGCATGATTTATGTTTACATTATCTAGAAATAGATAATTATCTTTTATATTCATATTATCTAGAAAAAGAGATATTTATATTATCTTTATATTATCTAGAAATATTATCTAGAATTATCTTTATATTATCTAGAAAAAGAGAATCCATGGGCCAGAGTCATTCCCCAGGAGCCTGAGAATGAAATATCTGAGAACCCAGCAACATAAATTCAGCTCTGAAAGGGGCCAGAAAGTTGCTGGCAGAGTTCAGGGCTTTCAACCAAAACGTTGCAGTTGATTCTTCCTACCTTTCCTTTGAAAGACCATTTCCACAGGAGAATAAAGGACCAAGTGAGAGATCATTCTGAAGATGTAAGATCTGATCTCCCTAGCTGCACTTTTAGGCACTATATATACCTTTGTTTTACAACTGTTGTGGTTTCTGCTTACTCATCTCTATACCACTTTTACAAAATGCAAAAAACATCAGTATACTGCCCTGTTACCAAGTTTGATTTTCATATTTAAAACTAGAGGAGTCAGTAGCTGTTGTTGTTCTGAGCAGATCTAGAAGTGTTCCATTTATCATTCCACCTACTCTGCACGGGAGAGACTGGATTAAGTTGATGAATGAAGAACAGGTTCAGCAAGACAGTGAACCCTACGTGATTCCTCAGTCCGGGCCACGGTCATCATTTCATTCTTTGGGTAGGCATTGCAAAAGTGGGACATTTGGAAGGGGAAATAGAATAAAGTAGGCTTGTTGGGATATAACATACATAGCAGTATAGACTAAGAGCCTCAAATATTACACAGACTTTTTCTAAGAATTGTGCCAAAATGTAGCCACTCTTTCCATTGCATTGGAAACTTGCTGGGACCACAAAGCAGTCTTTCATTCTATCTTTTCATATAGGAACAACATGGGGGCTGTTGCAAAGTGTCCCATTGATGCCTCCAGATACAGCAGGAACCCCTGCAGACAAGGTTGTTGACTGCAACAACAAACATCCAGATCTACCAAGGTGCAGTCACAAGAATAAAAGAAAGAAAAAGGGGCAGCCTACAATGATTCTCTCACACCTCAGGGAAAAGGACTTAAATCCTCAGATAATTGTTAAAGAGATTAGCATAGTTTTCCTAGTACAGCAACATTTATGAAAATGCCTGGTACAGTCTTGAGACTAACCTTCTGGTGCTTGTTTTTTTGTTTTGTGAAGCTGGAGCTTATGTTGTAGGGACCATTAACCCAGAACTATACAAGTTTCCTGAAGACCCAAGTGAGACAGATTTTCCTGAGGGCAGCATTGGTCGTCTCTGGTTCTCTGTAGAGTACGAGCAAGAGTCAGAAAGGCTCCTGGTCTCCTTGATTAAAGTCAGAAAGCTGCAGCCTCCTGCTGATTCCTGCAGTCCATTTGTGAAAATCTACTTGCTGCCAGATGAAAGACGGTACTTGCAATCCAAAACAAAAAGGAAAACGCTTAATCCACAATTTGATGAAAGCTTTGTTTTTCAGGTACTTACCTTTTGATGATGTAGAATTTTGTGTGCATAGATTGACTTGTCAAACTAAAGAACATGTTTTGTGAAAATGAATAATTCTTTCCACACCTCTACCAAAATACAAAATTGTTTTTTCTCAGAAGTAAGATTTACTACTGGACCTTCTGTAGGTCCTGGGCTAAATAAGTCTGTGGCTACAGGAACTCATCTTACATGTGTGAACTGCACCAAAGATTCCAGGCTTTGCTGCCCTAGGAAGAATGAAAACATGAAGCTGAACTACAGCTGAGCAGCACAGCAGCTGCTGAAGTCCGGGAGCAACCTAGTTTAACCAAGGCTTTCATCACTTTTAGGTTCTTTGCTCTGGAAGCAAGATAGATAGTAGAATATATCGTACAATATATTGAAGATGTATAATATTTAAGCAGGTCTCTAAATCTAGGAGCCTGGCTTCCAAGCTCAAGGGCTTATGGTCTCACAAGAGAAGCTTTAAAAGTGATGAAGCCTGAAGTTTAGACAACTGAAAAGTGAATGTTTACAGAAGATTAAATTTGTGTCTAAAAATGAAAGCATCATATAATACTAGATATGGGTTAGATGCAGCCAGCTAGCTTTGTATTTTCCAAATAATCTAGTTCTGTTTTGGCTTGCATCTTTTAATTGCTGCAAAACTAAGATTTTAGGCAGATTAAGAAACTGGACTTTAAATAATCAAAGGAAATCTCCACCTACCTCTAACACACTCGGAAAAATCCTTCATTTGAAGCCATGCCAGAGTAGAAAACACTCAGATGCAAGTATACTTATTAACATCCTTCCGTTTTCTGTACAGGTTTCCAGTAAAATGCTGTTCCAAAGTACTCTGAAATTCTTGGTTTATCATGTTGATAAGCAGAAAAAGCACCATCTCCTAGGCCAAGTTATTTTTCCATTGAAAAATGAAACACTAACTGATGACAACAAAACAGTTATATGGAGAGACCTGGAGAAAGACAGCTTGGAGGTAGGCACATCCCAGTCTGCTTGGCATTGAACATCTCATCTTACAAGTACCAGAAGGATATAGGTGATGTACACGAACATTGCATCAAACAATACACAAGTACCAAATACACAAGTATTTGATAAATATTTAGTATGAACATCCCCATGTTACTAACTGGTAATTCTGCTATAATGAAATTGCTGCAAAACAGTTACCTGAGTTAAACAGCCTTATGAGAAAACTCCTATTGTTTTTTTGAATTAGCAAAAATAAAAAAGCAGAAGAGGCAACAGGCATCACTGGTAAGACATACATATTCCACAGTTCAGGAAGACAGAAAGAGGGTCYTTATGTGTATTAGTCTGAAACAAGAAACAATACTACCATAGCAAGAGAGCAGGGTTTGACTACCACTATACATGAACCCAAAAGGACAGAAACTTGACCACTGGTGACTAAACAGCAACTCAGATACTCAGTGGAAGGAGGAAGGGAGTAGCTGCCTGCATCACCATTTCAGGTCATCTAAACAGTGTGCTTGGAGAGGTGTCAGGTAAAACTGGGACCTTGACTGGAATGACTCGTTGGCTTAACTAAACAAAACTATCCCGGTAAATGAAAAGAAGGGATCAAGTCAGAATATCTCAAATATATAGCGACAGGATTTTCCATCAAATGCTTCCATTAAGTGCTACAATAGTGTAGGTAAAGGTAATGCAAGTCACCAATGTACTTTAGTGTGGCAGAAAATACTGGTGTCAAGAGGCATCTCTTACTCTCCTTTAACCCCCTATTCGTTTGTCTGAGGAAAAAGGTTTTCAGATATATTTGACTAATGCTCCTCTGCTTCCAAAGGCTCCCTCAGAGCATGGTGATATCCAGTTCTCTCTCAGCTACAATGACTACCTGGGCCGTCTGACTGTAGTGGTTCTGAGAGCAAAGGGACTAAAACTCCAGGACGAGAGCCAGACTGCCAGTAAGTGCCAAAACCTTCCTCTCTGCTATCAGCTCCACAATTCCTGTTCTAATTTGCTCCTTCCTCATCTGCCCACCCAAGCTTACACTGAGGAAATTCTCCATAGGAAAAATAAACAGGGTGATTTCATTTGTGTGGAAATAAATCATAACCTGGCTTCTAGGGTAATAAAATTAATTGCTCAGTCCAGCTATGCTTTGATTTCATGTCATAATAAACGGTTAGTTCTACACCTTCAGTAACATTTTTCCCTTGATCTCTGTTCTTTTCTGCAATGAGCAACATTATTCTACTGTACTCCAGTTCAAAGCATGTGGCACTTCAGGCCATAGCTACATTTAAAAAGTTGCCCCAAGACAAACATTATGAGGCAAAAACCTGGTGGTAGCTACTGCAGGACAACTGCTTCCATTGAACCACTGCCCTGAGAGAGAGTTGAAATGGGAGAAAACTCCCAGTTTAGGGCAATCAGACCTCAGTTCAGGGGAATCACACGACAGTCACAATTTTCATCTTTTAAAGCAGCTAGGGATTTCCCAACGTGCTCATGTCTCCATGGCCTCAGATGTTAAGTGTAGAAACTACCTGAAAATGTTGCTTTTCTATATACTTCAAAATTAGAAGTAGCAAAAACAGATGGAAGAACCAAGCTTCAGAGTGTCTGCACCTGTAGTGATTTTTGAAGGGTTCTAAAACTAAAGAATACAAATGAAACACATAAATGTACAGGTATAAATGTTAATTTATCTCTGTAGACAGATTATGTAAACACTGCTAACGACATACGGAGAGAATTATTTTGAGTAGAACTTGGTCAGTATATTGCAATTTATTCATGGTAATAAGCAGGAATCATGGGCATTCTCTGGATGGAAGAGCTGACAAAAGAATTCTACAGGATACATTACTAGAAGTAATAATGAAAATTAAATGCAYTGGAGTTACTTCATTTGATAAAGCCTTTCAAGTATGATGTACAGAACAGACAAGCTCTTGCAAATCCTAAAGAAAACCTACATTTCCTAGAGACAGGGCTCTTTCATAATGTGACATTAATCTTTAATGGAAAATATACAGGAAAGGACAATAAGGAAATTTTTTTACATGAAAACTATTGAGTTAAATACATTAACTCAAATAGTAAGCAAGCAAACAACAGCTAAAAATCAGACTGTATACAAGTACTTTATACAGTAGTCCAGAAATAAGGCCCATATAGCACAGAAAAAGCACCCATACCTGTAAGCCTGCAACTCTTAAACAGTAATGACAGCCTCCTGGCTCTGTGGAAATAAAGTGACATGAAGTCAGTGTTGGATCTGTCCTGACATTTCTAATCACTTTTTGCTACACCGATTAACTTTAATGAACTGAATAGCAGGGAATAATTATCACAGGAGCAGCAGAGAACCACTTACTGCATCACTGGAAAAGAATAAGTCTTTAGCTAGTAATTGGTATGAGATTTCATTATGCTTGTCAGTRAATTTTAAGAAGAATGGAAAATTTCAGGCTAGTCTGGATCTCATTTTCAAAAATACCATGTACACCACATGTACTACCTGTTATCTCACCTTCAAGCAGCAAAGCAAAATTTGGGGGTTCTTCCTCCATTGCTTCCCCCCACTACTTCCACAGCATTTTCCAGAACACGAAGAGCAGAGAGAACATCTAAAACCATTCTTTCACATATTTTCCTCAAAACTCTATTAGTAGAGCAGAAAAATTCCCTAGCAGACATTGGAAAAACCTTTCAAGGATCGTTTGAACAGGAGGAACACTATTTCCCTGAAGAAATTCAGTTTTATCAGATACTTAACTGATCCAAGGGCAGGCTCTAGCTGTAAGAGGYACTTCATTCCTCACAGCCTCCCTTGTATTGGATCAAATGGCTATGTGATAAAATATATGAAATTAATACCAATCCAACAAACTAAGCCTTGAAATAAATAAAAAACACAACTCCATCTGATGGAAGGAAAGACACAAATGTCATCAGGGAGGCAGGGTAAGAGCAAGACAACTTCTTTCCACAACAGCTGAAATTGGGAAATTCYCTTAAATTGGGAAAGGGCATTACAACACAACTACTCTGTGCTCCGTACTTTGCATTATGCATTGCCTTACTGCCTTATGTTTCTTGAATGTTCTATGATCTAATAGTATAACTATTTACTCCTAAAAAGGCTGAATTTACCTCCAGCCTCTCCTCCCTAGTACCTGTATTTTTTTTTTCCTTTTCTTTTCACTCAAGGTGTATATGTCAAAGTCTCACTAATGAACCATAATAAATTCATCAAAAGTAAGAAGACAACAGCTGTTCTGGGATCCCTCAATCCAGTGTATAATGAAACCTTCAGCTTCAAGGCAGATCAGACAGAGCTGGATACAGCAAGCTTGAGTCTATCTGTGCTCCAGAATATCAAAGGAGACAGTAAGATATAGAAATTACAATATATAAGATGTCAAATATGTTACGTGTTGCAGAGGTATCTTATACCTAAAAAATTCATTCATTTTTATCAATAATCACTAAACAAATGAAAAAAGATCTAGGGTATTTTACAGTCTGTTTCCTTAAAAGGCAGAACAGCTTCTTTGCACTAGATGTTTGTCCATCTTCAAAGGCTAAAAAATTACACAACTAGAACTATGTAGACTAGTCAGTGTCCACATATTTAGGCAGCTATGCTTTGGTTTTGTTTTGGTGACGTAAGGAAACAAGCTCGTGCAATTACAACTGTGAACATTTGTACTTACAGCTCATAATCCAGAATTTTTCAAACTATTAAGCATCCTTAACCAAATTTGAAAGAGGAAAAGAAGTTTTAATTACCACAATAGTTCAAGTGATGAGAGAGAGGAAAGATTTTAGACACTGCCTGTCTCTGGCAAAAATACTGATGCTTGAAGTCTGTTCTTACTAATTGCTGGAAATGCCATTAAGGAGGACTGCTCAGGGTATGCCAGAATTGAATGCTCTGGCTAGTCACAAGGCAGTTTAAAGCACAGTCAGAGCAGGCCTGAACTTACTGCAGTAACTTTTAACGCTGAATCTTAGCTTTGGTTCAAAAACCAAACAACCAGCTTGTATCTCAGCAATGAAGGTTGACTTCAGGTACTGAGTATTTAACTGAAGAACTGACAGGTGCTGTTCACTAACTCCATTCTTTTTCCTCCCCAGAAACACAGCTGCTGGGGCGTGTAGTAGTTGGGCCCTTCATGTACACTCGGGGCAAAGAACTAGAGCACTGGAACGAGATGATCAGCAAGCCCAAGGAGCTGGTTAAACGATGGCATGCTCTATGCCACAGCATGTAAGCAGCATCATTCTGGGGACAAGATATAACCCTTAACACAGAACAGCTCTCCATTCTTTCATAAGAGTGTATCAAGAAGGTAACAACTCTTTCCCCAAACACAAAACCTYGTCCCTGGCAGACCACAACTCTTATCTGGCCTCTCTCCCAAACTAATTTTCCATTTTAACTAATACATAACAGAGTAAATAATGCAGAAAGACATAAGTGCTGGATCTCCCAGCATTAGCATTTTGACTAGTGGACACAAAAGATGCTCTGTCATTTGGATGCAACCCAAAGCAAYCTGAGGAATTGCAAATTACAATACAAGGCCTAACTGCCTGGTGCATCACTATGGATGGACCACATTGACCAAAATAGATGAAGCCCCTAAGCATGGATCTGTAAAAACACCACCGAAGTCCAAGATATTTCAACTGGTTGCTAAATACTTACAGCATATTTAAGATAGCAATGTTACATTTAAAACCTCCTCTGAATATGAACTGTGAAAAACATTAAGCAGATATTGTTCAAACGCCTATAAACACCTGTTTGAGCCCCTCAGCAGAGCTGAGCTTATTTGAGCGGTAATTCAGTTACATATTCTTGGATGACCTGAACACACAACACACTGCTGACATTGAGGGAGAAACAGGAAAGCTGCGCTCAAGTCAAAGGACTTGAAGCTTGCAGGAGTATTGAGTACTCAGGGAAAGTGCCACTGGGTGCCTACCCTGCCCTTACATGAAAGTCTGATCAATTAGCTTAAGACCCTGCATCATAAATCCGTTTCAGTGGTAGTTTTATTCATTATTTTTTTTTTTTTTGTAAAATTCAAATAAACTATTTTTAATCAAGAGGAAAAAAAACCATTTTCTTGCTTGTTCATTGAGGACCTGAACTCTGTGCCTTTCACACCCTGCAGTCATAAACTAGACACACACTATTCTAGTGGAACATTCTGTACAATTATATTACAAGAGGATTGTAATATCTGCAGCTGAAATAAAGCTGGCTTCCTTTCAAATAGGATACACCATTAATTCAACATATTAAAAATGAGACTTCTCTGGGGAAATGACAACACTTTCCATTTTGACAATAYTGTTATTGCCTAAAGTAAATACTGTGCATGAGAACATACCTGAGAGGAACTATAAGCTAACAGACTCCACCTGATCCTCTACATGAGATGTTGTATAGCACCCTCATCTTGTATCACTTACCACTTCCCTGGATATAAGGAGGTCTGTGCCTTCTACATTTCATTAAATCTTACAAAAACCTCTAATGTACCTTGTTCAAATGAGTTGTGTCAATGTCCYCAAATGCAGAACTATTTTACTGCTATAGGATCTACTGAATCTGGTCTGAGAAAGAAAACTATATAAAATGTATACACAAACTGTATTACTATGATAAAGCAATTTTAGCAAATACACTGTCTGTGTGTATGATTTAAATCACATCAGTAAAGTTGTTAAAAGTGAATTGTCCAGGATGTTTCAGGATGTTTACTAGCTTGTACAGGCAGATACCTGTAATGCACAGTGTCTAATAGCACCTCTAAAATGGAAAATGAGGGGCTGTGTTCACTTGTCTTACTGTACAATATAGATATATGTAGATAATATATATAGATAACATAATAAGATAATATATAGATAATATAGAGTGTAGTCTCTTTCTTAAGTACTAAGTATTCATATTTCTGTGTTCAATAATTACAACTGAACTCATGGAGAAATATATTTAAATGCACTTACCAATGTACTTGATGTTGTTCAAAGCTATCAAAGTAACATAAGTGAGAACTGTCCATTATAATTCTTCCAGAGCACCACAGCTATCCCAATAAAGACAGAGATGATTAAACAGGAAACAGTGCTATCAATAGTCATATGCAATTTTTTTTTTTATACTTACTGCATTTTATAGATCATCCATCTATTTTTCATACTTGACATTTGCAATGAGATGAAGAGTGATTACAAAACTTAGCAGTACTTAGCTGATAAATTACTGAAAAAATTTCTTCTGCAAAATTAATGTACTAATATTTACCTTTTGAATTAAATGCACAGCATGAACTCCAATCCAAGAAGTGCACCAGAAGGAGACATTATAAAATCATGCAAAATGTGGCATCTTCTTCAGTATTCCTCATGACTGTCATAAACAAGTTTGGCAATATATCTCGSATTTGCTCAATAAAAGCACAACTCCTTTAAGTGGCAATGAGCAGCAATTGATTAAATATCCCGAATGTGCAATCTGCAAGGATCCATTAAGAGAACATGCTAAGCACTATTTATGCTCTACATCATTTAGAAGCCTTAGTGAGGGACACAGTTTATCTCAGAAAATACTGATCACTGTCAACATACCCAATGTTTTTGCAGAACAATACTTTAAAATCTGTTRCTTTACCAAACCACATAAAATCATAATTCACTCAGCCTTTTACTGATAAAAATCAGCATTAAACAAGACTAATACAATTCACTTCTAAACCAGATTAAGGCAAGACAGTTGAAGATCAATGTTAAACTAATTAAATTGCCTTAAGGTGATATTTATCTGCCAGTTCATGCTACAACAAAACATACAACTTAATGACTTAARGATTCCATAAAATAATGCACCACTTTAATTAAAAGAGGTTTTAAGCAGTTCAGTTGAATTGATGCAACAACTTCTAGCTAATCAAATTTAGCCTCAATGAGATGGAGAAGACAACGGCAAAATTGCTGGACAAAAAGGGCAAACATTCAGCTGCTACAATAAGGAAAGCAACCATAACATGTGGAAAAGTTCAAAGAAATAACCAAATTAGAGAAGACAGAGGATAAATACAAAAGAAAATCTCAGAACTAAAATGACACCACATGACTGTAACTATCTTCCTTTAATCTATTAGACTCACAAAGTCTTCAACACTAGAGAACTTCTACTGGAGAGAAGAGCCAAASTGAGACACCAGCAAGAGCTTTTTATTATGCTAAAAACATACATACAAAAATATACTTTACAGTAATTAAACAAGACAGTAACAGTGCATACAGTTAGCAGATACTCCATATCAATACTTCTGTGATTTTTTTTTACTATAAATTAAACACAACATCCCTTCTTGTATTTTGACTTGCTTCCCTAATCTAATTCATTTTTCTTCTTTGCAAACTGCTTGTTCATACGGTCTCTGAACATCAGTTATTGCAGAGGTCAATGCTTCAGAGATCAGGATGAAAATCTAGCAGATGGAAATCCTTTTGCAAAGGATAGCTGTTTTCATCGAGCACAAAATGGCTCCTGATTTCCAACACATAGGATGCTTCTGTATCTGCCAGCAGCAAATGACACAGTTCTGCTACAATTACACAGTAGGTCATACTTGAGGAGGGCACTGCAAGATAGAACAATCCAATTCACTTTATGCTCGTAACAGCACCTAAAGTACAAATTCTACCCCCATGAAAGCTCCATTAATTACTGGAAATTTAGTCTGGCATCTGAACAGAAAATTAACTTTTGTAATCACTTTCTTTTCCAAATAATTTGTTAAAAATGCTTCTCATTAAATCATAACACCAGTGAATCACATACAACACCCCAACAAGTCAAATAGGAGGAACTAGAAAAATCTAGTTCAATTATTGAGCTGAATTATAGCAGCTACTGCTCAAAACTGCTAAGAGATTCCAACCGAATACATGAAATACATCGAATTCCATTTAGTAACTGAATATTTAGTTATTGAGTGTGTAATAAATGCTCATTTATTTAAAAATGGTATTTTACCTTGTACTCTTACTACCTTTATTCTGGAACTCCAGCTTCTCACATTTGTTTCATGGAAGCTGAAATGTTTTCTTAACAGTTTTTAATTCACTCTGAAGCAGGTTATATATTAAGATATAATTTGTCATCACACCTATCCAGAATGAGCATTTCATGCTGATTCTAATATAGAGAGTAGTTATAAACTTTGCTTTCACTGTGAGCTTTGTGGCTCTTGAAGGTTCCACAACAAAGCCACCATGGAGCCATACCTACTGCTCTGTTCAGCCAGTCTGCGGGAATATTGAGGAAGATTTTTTCCATCAACTCTGATACCACATGAACATAAATTTCATATCCTCCATCTTCGATTGTCATCAAAGCAGACCTAGATCAGAAAGCAGAAGATGGTTAAAACATAACTTTTTGTTGATGCAAAATTTCTCATGAAAGTAATTCAATAAGTACCTCCCACAATTACACCAGTAACTAGAAAATATCTATTCACTCTTCCTCCCTCCAGCTGTAGAGTCAGAATGAGCTCAATACGTCCCAAATTCASTACATAACTTTAAAATAAACCTCTGAAGTCATCAGTAAGCTGTAGTTTCAGACAAATGCAGTTAAGTTTGTTATATCTGCTGTTTTTCCACGAGAAGATGAGTAATGCACCAAACAATTTTTTTTAAAACCTCAGAGTGTTCATATAAATTAAGCTAACAAAGCTTGCAACCTTTAGCCTGAGAGTCAGAGTCCACGTTTTGAGATTAAAGTTATCCAAAATAAACTTAAATTAGTGTCATTTATTTTTGCCAAGAATGAGAAAAATAATCCTTACTCATTTAAGAAGCAATTTTTTCAGGTTGGGTATTATATAGACCAGAAAGTCCTATTAACAGTAATAAAGCTTTTTCTCAGCAATCAACTTAGGGAACATACTAGCCATATTTCAATCCTTTCAAAACCTTTGATGATGTATTCACAATGGGCAAAAAAATAAACAAGCAGGCAAAACCCTTACTATATCAGAGACATATTTACCTAAYAGTAACACTTGGTTGGATGTGAACACAAAGAAAGGACAGTTGTCCTTAACAGATATAGTCCCGATCAGTTTTCTTAAGACTTTCTCAAATAAGGGAACAGCTTCAACAGAGGATGAAATACCAAYTTATTCTAAGTTAGGTACAAGTAAAATAAGTGCATACAAGTATATCTGCACACAGAAGTTCTCTATGCATGCTATGTGGTCTAGAATTAAGGTAGAGCAAATAAAAACACATCCCAATACTTCAAGCAGCAACATTTTAGGAGTCAAGGACAGTTCTTGCTTGTGACTTCATACACTTGACCCGTCAACATGGCCCTCACAACCGACTCTCTGCATGAAGGTGATTAAAATTAGCAGAATGTGTCAGTAGCTTAGCAATCACTTCATTCCCCCACTGATGCTTCCAATCAGTAAGACTAAGTGCCAAAGAATTATTTTAAATGTATTTTCATTTCAGAAAAATATAAAAAAGAAAAACTGAGTTCCATTCCATTTTATTGATTCTAATTGATAGTGAAAAATGCAAACTCTTATTTTAGAGATTTAAACAAGCCTGAATAGTATCTGAAAATGAAGTATTAGTATTGCTACACAGTGGTACTTAAAACATTAAATGACAGTAAAACATTAAATGACAAATTTGTATACCGAGTAAATTTMAGAATTAGCTTCTCCACTTTTATTTGTGGTGCATACTTGATTGTGTCCACACCATGCCCTGCATCGTAGCTGCTAAATGTCAGAAGTTCCATAGAACTCATTGCTGTTTGAAAAATTCATCTTCGTGAAAATGAAGAAAATMRTTGAGASAATCTGCTCCCAAATACTAAGATTCCTTCCTAATCCTAATAGAAGTTACTGAGCTTCTATTCCAGAAAGACATTTCAAGAATAGACTTTTCTTTGAAAAGGTTGCACATTCAAGTTTTCCATACATGTACATACATGTGTTATTTTTTCATCACYGTTTGCATGGTAAATTGAAGTCAAGTTATTTTTATAACAGACAATCTTCCCATTCATAGAAAAAAAAGTGAGCATAAGCTACCTGAGAAGCTTTAAAGGATATAGTGTTTTCTCACTGTTGCTTCCCATGAGTTCTGAACCTCCCACTGAATGTCAGCCAAAAATAAGCCCTCCATATTTACCTGAATAAGAACTAAAGAACAATAGAAGGACAACATTTTGCATAAAACATCCCATGACGTTCAGAACTACTTCTGGCTATACACACTTTTTTGTGCAATACAGTTGCCAGACAAAACCAGTTTCATCTTAACAGAATACTGTAACTGGACATTGGAAACCTTTGATATATTTATATAT